CACCACAACTGTACTCCAGAGTTCCAGGCGAATGAAGTTCGCAAAGTCAAGGTACTGATTGAAAGCGTCACCGTCTCTCTTTCTTCTTCTGCCGTTTCGGTGACACTTCTTCTTACGATGTAACGACTTCGTTTGATCTAAGGTGTTTTCTTTGTTTTTATTCATCCATCCCCATTGTCATCATCTCACCGTCTTGATTTTGCATGTTTGTCCCACTTCCTGGGGAGGCAGTAATGTTGTCTGTTGATCCTTTTAGAGCAATTTTATTTTGTTTTTTTCCTCCGTTTTACTCGTCTCCTGGCTGTAGAACGTAGTCAGTGATTGCTTTATGTTCCCTATGTTGCTCTCTCCGCTGCCCCCCTCCGATCCTTCCACATCTCAATTCCCGGTCTTCCCTCGCTTCCTCCCTCCCTCCAGCGGTATGAGCAGGGCTTCATCACAGACCCAGTGGTGATGAGCCCCCAAGAGCGAGTGCGGGACGTCTTCCAAGCCAAGGCGCGCCACGGCTTCTGTGGCATCCCCATTACAGACAACGGCAAGATGGGCGGCAAGCTGGTGGGGATCATCTCGTCCAGAGATATCGATTTCCTGAAAGAGGAGGACCACAACCTGCCACTAAGCGAGGTGAGGAATATTTATAAACTTAAAACATTTGTCAGGTTTCAACAAAGTTAAGTAGCTTTTGAGGTTTTAACCAAGTGCTCAAGATTAAATGTTTATTTTTTTACCTTCTGTTGGGCTCAGTATCTTTTTTAGGCAGTTTCGGGTTTAATCTTTTGTTGCCGTGTCTTGTTTGCTACAGCGCCTTGCTAAAGTATTCAGAGTCCTTTTGTCTCCTTACAAAAACTTTATTTGAAATGGATGTGATTAGGATTATAGCTAATGATTATTTTAGTAATCAGTTCATCTATAGATTACTCTGATGATTCATATTTAAATTGAGAAAAAAAATATGGCACATTCTACAGATTTCTTTTTTCATTTAACCACTTCATTCTGTATGGGATTACATGAGAAAAACATTAAAATATGCAAATAGACAAATAATTTAGCTCCTTTTTTTTAAATAGAAAAAAAAAATAACATTTTATTGCCTAAAATGCAGCAACGTAGAATTTCTTTATCACAGTTGAGAAGTGGGAGGGAAATAATGCAGATTTCTAAAAGTGACAAGTGGTAGCTTCCATTTGTAAGAAATAGAAAAAGTTTGGCTCTGCTCCATCAGATCAGTGTCTCAGAATCTATTGACGATTAGTGTCTCATTACACAAGCCGTTTTTTTTTCTGTTTTTTTTAAATGGAAAAAAAAAAAGAAATTCATTGAAATAAGATTTGTCGTTTTTCATATTCAATCAAAATCTTTGGCCAGATTTATAAATTGTTGCTTACATAAATTTTCTAATCTGACAAGATTTGTGCTTCTTTGTGAAGATTTGGGAAAATATTTCAGTCTCTATATGAGTGTAAAAGGTAGAGATGAGTTCTACAACAAGCCATCTGAATATAAATGTAGGACACATTGTTTCTGATTTGTCTCTCTGATTTGCTTTATGTATTTAATATCACAAAAAATACTTTGGATTTGTGCAGTAAAAGATTATCAGCTGAATGAGTAATAATGAGTGTGCTGTTCTTACCAATATGGCAGGTGATGACTAAGGAGGAGGATTTAGTAGTTGCTCCAGCTGGAGTGACATTGAAAGAAGCCAATGAAATCCTCCAGAGGAGCAAGAAAGGTGGAGGAAAAAAACAAAAAAACACATTTTGCACAACTTGCTTCTTTTAAATGTAGCCAAAGTGAAACTCTGTGTGTTCACCTGGTTCCTGCTGCAGGTAAACTTCCCATCGTGAATTCGGAGGGCTCCCTGGTGGCCATCATCGCGCGTACAGACTTGAAGAAGAACCGGGACTTCCCTCTGGCCTCCAAAGACTCCCGGAAGCAGCTGCTGTGTGGCGCCGCCATCGGAACCCACAATGACGACAAGTACAGACTGGACCTGCTGGTGCAGAGCGGCGTGGACGTGGTCGTGCTGGTGAGCACTTCTGCCTTTGCTGGTCGTCTGCTGGGGCGAGGAGGAAGACCGTGTTTAGAGGCTCCAGAGATTATACCTTTATTCCCTCTGTCCTCTTTCTTCCATGTTTTCTACTTTGCTTTCATTTGTCCTTAACTTGCACCTTTCCTTCTTTCTTCTGTCCCTCTCTAGTTTTTCATACTTCAGATTATTCATTGCATCAATCCTTGTGCCTCCTACCTCTTTTATGTCTTTGCTTTTCTTCTTCCTTCTTTGTCATCCGTTCCCTTCTTCCTCTTTTTTTATCCTCCCACAGGACTCGTCTCAGGGCAACTCCATCTTCCAGATCAACATGATCAAATACATTAAAGAAAAGTACCCCAACTTACAAGTCATTGGAGGCAATGGTAACCACACAGATTAATTTCTACTTCTGAAATGTTAAAGTGTGCTTGACCAACTCTACTGATCTCTGCTTCCCAAGTGAAAGTTTGGAAATATTGTACTGGAGGCCATTTATTCTGTAAAAGCAAAAAATGTGATAGAAGAAGCATATATTGTATTTTTCTTTGATAGGGAACATATAAAAAATGTAAAATTTCAGTGAAAAATCTTTTAAATTCTCTTGGGTTCTGAGGTTCTGGCTGAGTTCTAACTGGTCCTCTGTCGCCCCCTGTCTGTGGCAGTGGTGACTGCAGCTCAGGCCAAGAACCTCATTGATGCAGGCGTGGATGCCCTGAGAGTGGGGATGGGCAGCGGCTCCATCTGCATCACACAGGAAGGTGAGGAACACACAGAAACGTGGCCAAACTCAGGAAACGCACAGCTCCGCTCATTCCACTCTCATCTTTCTGTTTGATCCTGATATTTCAGTTCAGTTTGTTTGGGTAAAAAATAGTGTTAGAATCTGCAAGTTTGCAACAAGAACAATAATGCTACATCCCAGATTGATGTGAAATACCTTTTTGTTGTTGTTGTTTTTTACATCGTTTAATTTTTCTGAGCTGTGGTTCTTGTTTGTAATACTGGTGACAGATGGACGAAAACAAGTTGCATCCATTTGGACATCAGTTTGGATTTTGAAAGTGCCTTATTTCCAGTGAATGTATAGTTTGTACAAAGTAAGCACTCAAATTGTGGTAGTTGATAGTATTATATGATAAAGGCAGTTAAAAACGTCAATCTTAATATTTTTGTATGTTTCTAAACATGAGCTGTAAAATACTTCCTCAAACCAGGTGTGACACAAAATAAACTGATTGGTCAGGACAGGCTCAAGGCTCCTCTACAGTCACAGCTTTTATTTAAAATTTCAAGCCTGATTTAAGCCTTTCTGGTAACGGCTTTGCATCTGTGGGTGCATCTGTAGTTTTGGGGGTTTGTTTGCTCCGTCCATTGATCTATTAACCATCCAGGGTGACTTGTGGTCTTCCTCCACCAACTTTTCTGACCTTTTGCTCTCTAGTTATGCAGCAGCATACCAAAAGTTGAAAGTATGTTGAGGACAGCTGAAACTAAAGCTTCATCCTTTGATTCCTGAGTATTTGGCAGGGATTCTCAAGAATAAACAGGAAGATGAATGCAAATAAAGACTTTTTTCTTAAAGTTTTGAGCAGCAGTTTGATCACTTTCATGAATGCATATAAGGAGAGCAAAGATGTTCCTCTTAACAATGATTTCCTGGACTTTTTCGATCAAATATTTTATGGTGAGTAAATTAAAGGAGGAGCCTTTTCCTTTTTAGCTTTTTTTGCTAATGCCTTTCATGCATGCTGGAGGAAGTTCCAATGAGTGGAAATTGTGTCATCCTGACATTACGCACCATAAAATCAGGTTAGAACGTGAATAACTTTACTACTGAATGTCCTTGTTCCTGTTTCTTAACTCTGATTGGTCGGTTTCAGAAACCTATCAGCCGACTGTATTCAGCTTAATGCTGGCAGATGACTAATACAGAGAGTTTTCGACATGGTTAGATATTTTTGTGCTGATGTGGCAGCTTTAACTTCCTCATTTTCACATGTAGCAAACGCGAAAAAGCACATTATCAGCTTGTGTTTTCACTCTTGTATTCTTTTATCACTTCCTGCATTTAGAACACGACATGCACTTTATTTCATTTTCTTTTAAATCAAATGAGCTTACGTGAATTCTGTATGTTTTACTTTGGTAGATCTGTAAAAGCAGAAAAGAACAAAAACCAGACTTTAAACAGATCATGTGAAGAGCACAGCTCTAACGCCCAGTCACCAGACTAGAGTTAAACTTTTAGTCTTCCTTGGCCGTCCACGGTAACTCCTTTGTCTCCGTTTTCTCAGTGCTGGCGTGCGGCAGACCCCAGGCCACGGCAGTTTATAAAGTTTCCGAGTACGCCAGACGTTTCTGTGTGCCCGTCATCGCTGACGGTGGCATCCAGACTGTTGGGCACATCGCCAAAGCCCTGGCTCTGGGAGCATCAACAGGTGAGAATGACGGTGGAAATGCGCTTGGAAATAAAAAGTTTTACACACGACGCAACATACGTCAATTTAAGTGTGCGTGTGTACCTGTAGCAATAGACGGAAATGTGAAAATCTGCAGTTAGAAGGTGTGCACCTTATGTTTCGAGATTTTTTTTTAGAAGTAAGTTGAATCCTTTTTATTTGGTTCATAGAGTTATATAGTTTTCAGATGGTGAACCACGGTCAGGCAACACACCATTGTATCTTGAGTGACCTTGTTGTATATTCTAAATAGATTTGCACCAGAAACTGCTTCGTGTGAAACATTTTTATGTGTGTGTGTGCGCAGTGATGATGGGTTCTCTGCTGGCTGCCACCAGCGAAGCTCCTGGTGAATATTTCTTTTCCGACGGGATCCGGTTGAAGAAATACCGCGGCATGGGCTCTCTGGACGCCATGGACAAAAACCTCGGCTCTCAGAACAGATACTTCAGGTACATAATCCACACAACGTCCTGCTGCCACATTATTCTGCTTTTTTTTTTTCTTTTTTTTTTTACTCCCCCAGCTTTCGTCACATCTTCCTCATTTCATTCTCAGTGGTATCTAGACAGCGTCTTGTGGCACAGACTGATGAGCCTGCTAGAAAAGAGTGGCAGATATTTCAGGAAATGTCTTCATGCAGTGATTTTTTTTTTCCCCACAGGAACTTCATAAAAACCAAAGTCCAGCAAGGAGGAGTTCTGCACTTGATCTTAATACAGTCATGACTACATGAAAGCACATCCTCTTTCAATTAGGAGGCTTTACAGACAAGAAAAAAAAATCTGTTCTAGAGTCTGAAAAGACAAAACCAAAACAGAAAAGATGAGCATGAAAAGTTTAACTCCACCTTTCCAAGCAATCGGTGGTGCCCATTAATCTGGGAGGGGTTCTAAGGGTATCCCCAATAATCATTCTGCAGTCCCACTGCAACAAATTTCTGAAGGCCATATAGAAAAATAAACTCACAGTCAAGAGAGGTAGTTGAAGAGTAAAAACATTGGACTGCAGCCAGTTTTCTGACAATGTGAAGCAGTGCTATGCTCAGGGAATTTGCAAAAAGACGAAATAAATGTGGAATTAAAGACCAACAAATATATCTTTGGATACAATACATATCAGAAGACTTTCTGTACCAGCTGTATGCATGGCGGTGGAGTGTTGATGATTTGGGCTTGTGTTGTATCCAAAGGACCTAAACCTCTTGCTGTCATTGAATCAACCATGAACACAACCAAAACACAAATATGACACCATTTGTCCAACGGAACGGCTCAAAAAGAAAGGAGTCAAGGTGTCGCAAAGGCCTAGTTAAAGTCCAAACTTCAACCTGATTGTAAATGCCGGTGCGGCAGCGTAAAGCTGAGTAGAAAGAAATGAAAGCAAAACTCTTCTTGACACAACTCTTTGTTGTTGCTGTTAAATGTGGTTCATAATTTATTGGCTCAAATATGTTTTGTGTTGTAAACATGATATGGTGACGTGAGCTACTGGAGGTCAGGTCAGTGTTATTGTTCTCATCATGTAAAGCCCTTTAAGTTAATTCGGTGTATCCTGACTGACCTGAAATCAGATTTAAGAAATGAATGAAGATTACTGACATTTACCCAAGTTAAGCAGGTCTGACCCCCTGCTAGACTGACCTAACCAACTCTCCACTTTTCCATCTCTTCCTTCACAGCGAGAGCGACAACATTAAAGTTGCTCAAGGCGTTTCTGGAGCCGTGCAGGACAAAGGCTCCATCCACAAGTTTGTCCCCTACCTACTAGCCGGCACTCAGCACTCCTGTCAAGACATCGGTGCCAAAAGCCTCACCCAGCTCAGGTAAGGCTGCGCCGACGCCATCAAAGTGTCGCTCATCTGTACCCCTCATATCACCCGGGTCAAAGAGGTGCAGACGAGCTTAGAGACGGTTTGTTGAGCCGTTATCGTCCCATCAACATCTGGTGGCGTAACGGTTCGGTTTTTATTACCTTCTAGAGCCCTGATGTACTCTGGAGAGCTGAAATTTGAAAAGAGAACGTCATCAGCTCAGATAGAGGGCGGAGTCCACAGTCTGCACAGGTATATAAAACACACACAAACTGGTACTTTCCACTCTGCTTTTACTCGGTTTCACATTCCATTGTCCTAATGATCTGCTAGTTTCATGTCTTCACCACAATCACACAAGCCTTCTGTTCGACTTCCTCTTGGTGCCTCAGTTTGGACGCTGAACGAGTCGTGTGATCTCTCCCTCTGACTTTCCCACAGTTACGAAAAACGTCTGTTTTGAGGGGAGCGGAGCGTTCAGCTGGAGATTCAGTCCAGCGGATGACACTACAACCGCTTCCAAGACCTGCGTCGAATCCTGCAGCCAACTTCAGATTACACTAAATCACTGCTCTTCCAGAGATCCATTAGTCTTCCTTTCAGTGTCATCTATGCATTGTAGAGGTGTGTGTGTGTGTGTGTATAATGGAGAATGTTGAGAAATTAGCTTTTATTAATAGGTGCATGTATGAGTTGAATGAGGGAAGTTCACCCTTATTGTGATGAGATTATCTCCATGTTTGTCCATTTTAAAGCAAAAAAACACCCAAACAATTAAAGGCCTCATTGTTTTTCACACTTGTCTGTTTTTGTTGTTTAGAAGATTAAAGTCAAAATTCAGAAAGAACTTTTATTCCTCAGCTAGTAGGAACTTATATGCAAGTCAGTCTGCATATAATTAAACAAGCTTAAGTTTGCGTCTAAGAATATACCTCACCTACCTTTGACGTATTTAACCTTTCATGCATGAATTATGATCATTTGTCAGGATTTTTTTCCAATTTGTTTTTGATTTTCTTAAGGCATAAAAAAAGGTAGGAAAATTTGTACATTTTTATTTAGATCAATTGTAATTTTCTCCAAATACAAAGTTATTTGAAAAATGCATCAGTATTGTTCTTTAGGGGTTATCCGACATCGATTTTTTTTTTTTTTTACCTGCAAGAGTCGTCTACAGTGGAAGGAGGGACCGAGTCGGTTGGCATGCTTTTTTTTTTTTTTTTGTCTGTCGGCCATTTTGGATTTAACAAAAATAATTTCTTGCATTTGCACCTGATGGCCAGTAGTTGGTAGTGTATTTTATGATGCATTAGTGTCCACTTCAGTGGTCTGTGTGAATTTATAACATAAAAATCCACAAGAAGCACAAGAAAATGGCTTTTAGATAGCTGTCCACTGTGGTGACCACTATGCATGAAAGGGTTAAGAGTGAAGAGGCAGTTTATCAGCAGGTTAGGGTTACCAGGGTCTCATTACCTGGAGGGGGGGCTCGTATCCCATGAGGACTTGCTACAGCTTGTAGTGAGAAACCGAGTCTGCAAGGGACAAAGGGATTCAGCTGAGGGCATGTGGTGAACTGTTGGCCTTAACTTTGCTTGTAATGAAAGTGAGGATATATTTTAATCCAAGAAGGGAAGAAACAACTTAGTATCACCTAAACCAGAACTCTGCAACCTTTACAGTCCAAAGAGCCATTTTTTATCCTCAATGCAGCCAAAAATCCTCATTTAGAGACGTACATTAAGACATTTTATTTTTAAATACCTACTGTAGGAAATTTGTCATTTTTAAAGAGCCAACATTTTAATTATATTAAGTTTTAATAAAATAAAAACAAACTTGGAAGAAGATGGAAACATTGTTTTCCTATAGGAAGTTACTTGTGGAAGATGTAAAAGAAAGTTTCCAACTTAATGACAAGAACAATGTTTTAGCAAATGCAAAACCGCCATCTTGTTTTTATATCTATATTTAAAAATTGTTTTTTAAAACAATCTTAGCCTCAGACTACAAATGCTCTTTACTGCAAATCATCCAAACTTCATGGAGAGTAAACCTACAGCACCTTGCAGGGAAGTAAAGATGTCCTTTATTATCCATCGACACAAAGCTCCCTTTACTCTGATGCGTCTAAATAACCTCCATTGGAACAAACTGCCTTCTGGGGTCACCTAAACGGAGTCTGGCTGTGTGTGTTTTAATATCTCCTCTCTGATTTAGCTGTTCTGTGATGAAGGCCTCAGGTTTGTTCATCATGAAGACCAAGAAACACGGCAGACAGAACAAGGACAAAGATGTGGAGACGGTTACTTCATGGTTGGGTCAGAAAACTGTACCCCAAGCTTTGAGATCTGTTCATTTCTTCAGCATGGACAGTGGAGCTGCTTGGTCAGAAAGGATGGAGGTTCAGGAACTCTTAAGCGTACAGCCATTTGGCACAATGCAGTGGTTTAGAACAAAGCATCATCACATGTTGGACAATCCAAACAAAGACCAGACCTAAAACACATCGACAATCAGTCAGATCAGTTTTTATTTGTATTGTCCCAAAAATACATTTATGTGAAAACTTTAAATATTACATAATTTTAAATAGGTGCTCTTCAATTCCAATACATTTTGGCAGTTTGTTAATTTTACACTCTACCACAGCCACCGAGGGCATTCACGATCTTGAACTAACCTGAAATGAAAATGTTTTCATCAGAAAATCCACACACAAAAAAAAAATGTTCTGTTTGTAACATGACAAAATGTGGAAAGGTTGAAACAACCATACTTCTTATGGGAAAACTATTTTATATTTATTCAAGTCAAAAATTAAAACAAAATAAAAAAATAATGCACATGTTTCTTTACTGCTAAACCTCTAACAAACATCTGGTCCAAAGCACATCATTAATGAGTTGCATTGAACCAAAGAAGAAGCAAACAGCTCGTCTCCTCCCGTCTCACCTCCACCTTCCTCCTCCAGGTCTCCAGAGAGGATCAGATGCTCCTCTGAATCCTCCGGACTTTCCAGGCTGAAACCCAGACGGACCTGATGGGAGTCGTCCCCGTCACGCTCTGTTGGCCACACCTGTCTCACATCATCCATCATGAGGCGCTCAGATGTTTCTAACTAGACAGAAGAGTACATCCACAGACCTCCATTAGCCTGGCAGAAAGATGAGCTTTTCCCACGAGAACTAAAAAAAAAACGGCAGCTCATGAAAGTTTACCACAGCCAGATGCTAGCTGTGCTACGGTCACCTGCGTTTACTGTCACAACCAGAGTTTCACTAACAACATCATTGCTAATGTCCCGTCAATGAACTTATAAAATGTTCATTTTTTCTTGTTTAAAATACAAATTTCTATTGCCTACAAAACACAACCTGTATTGACAGTTAATGTTGGACGTCACTCACTTGACACAGTGCAAGCTTCTTATTTGAATGCATCCAACCAGGGATATGAATAATTGCTCATCTGTAACAAATCCATGATGAATCCAATCTAAACCAGTACAAGAAATGAGCAAAACGCATGAAATTATTGAATTATCTGATAGGAGACTGAAAACTCAGTGGGTGTATTTTTTATATTTTGACAGGTCAGAATATTTTATTGAAATTTAGGCAAGAAAGGGTAGCTGAAGAGTTCTTCTGCATGTTTTATTAAATATCTTCTGTTTTAGAATATCTAAAACAGAACTTTATTATTATATTTTTAAATGGCTTGTGCATCTTCCATTTTTTTTTTTTTTTAAAACGACTCACTGCTGGCTAAAAACATGTTTTATTCCCTTAGTAAAAGTTACACCATGTGGTTCTAAAATCTGAAAAATGGAAATATTTCAGTTTAATTTCTTTAGCTTTTATAATGAAACATTTAAGTATTTAGAACTTTTACACTTTCACCTAAAAGTAGCTTATTATTTCTATTTGCTAAATGCCAGAAAACTTAGTGTGATTTTTTTTTTTTTTTTGCAACTTTCCTTGAATTCAAATGGTTACATACATTTGGTCAGTATCAGGAATAACTGAACTTTAAAATGTATGATTTGGGTCAAGCCCAAATGGACAGTGACCCTAAGCAGACAGACAGAATGGTTATAATGTGGGTTAAGCACAACAAAGTGGCTGTTTTACTACAAAGCCCCAATCTCAGTTTTATGGAGAAATTCTGTGGGAAGATCTGAAACGGCGAGTGAAGCGGCTATCAAAATGGTTTGTGGAAGGAAACCCAAAAGTCAGACGGCTTAAAGTACAGTTATCCCTGATACTGAAACTTTTGAATTTGAGGGAAATTTACAGAAAAAAAAACAAAAGTCTAAACATTTTCTAAGTTCTATGGACTTTAGCAAATATAAATCATTTGGTTAATTTTAAATAAGCTAGACACAATAAATGTTTGGTTTGATTTAACTTCAGAGTGAGAAAACAAATGTCTTTTTATTCAGTGAATATAAATATTTGGTTTCAACTGTAGGCCAAAACGTTTTTTATCTCCTTAAATTGCACATGATAAAATAAGGCCTACCAGCCATTGAGCTTATTTTAGGATGATGGATTGAACAGTGCTGTCACATGTTAAAATGTTGCAATATTGTTCTACATCCTAAACCTGCGTTGTTTTAACTTCTCCACAACCTGTCTGCTACATTCTTTGGTCTTCATAATGTTTTTTTTTCTTCCTCCAATACAGCAGAGGCCTTCATAGAAAAGCTGAACTCTGTTATTTATATGAATTTTATTCATTCATTCGCTTTCACAACTCTGTGTTAATCCATCACATAAAATCCCATTAAAATACATCGAAGGTTGCGATTAGTTTGCACAAAGTTAAAAAGTTCAAAGGGGTTGAATACTTATGCAAGTTTCTGTATTTTAATGGGATCTGTTCAAGTCAAAAATGGATTTTACCGTTTTGGAACGAAAATATTTCCTAACACTTCTATCTGAAAATGCACATCCTTCTGTTTAAAAACAAAGAAAATATTTCATATGGAGTATTACCAACAATAAATAGAGAATAATAAGAGAATAGAGAATAACAGAGACAGAAAAAAAAAAAAAAAAAAACTGTCCGCCCAGAGGCAGAAGGGAGAGGAGGCAGGGAGTTAGTGGACAAAGGAAGGAAAGGAGGAGTTTGGTCCGCTCAGGAGAAGTGAAAGTGAAATGAATCTCTGGAGTATTTAAAGAGGAAGTTTGGACTAACAGAGCTGTTGGCAGGCAGCGCTGCGGAGGACGACCTGCTGCTCCGAGGCGATGGTGAGCTCAACAACATTTCCTACTCTTCACACTCATTTATCCTTGCACAAGCCCATGCAGCGGCTGCTTCTTTGTTTTCACTTTGATTTTATTCATTTGGCTCTCTCTCTCTCTCTCAAAGCCAGTCCGCCCTCTTCTTTTATTCTTCCGTTTGACACTCATGTAATATTTCACCTCACTTTTCTAATATTGGATCACTTCACTGCTTTAGCAGGCGGTTAAAATGAACATTTCAGAGGCACAAAAGTGAAAATGTTTCAGGCTGTGAAGGTTTGCAGTGCAGCTGTCAAACTGAAAGTATGTTTAGGACGGTTCTCTTAGGTGCTTAGGTCACTTTCTGTCAGTCAGTTTTCAGCCTTATTTAAGCTGCGTTGTGTATTTAGGCTACAAGAAGCTTCAAGTCGGGGGTAAATCAGGCATCTAAATCTTTCAGTCGTCTCCTCCTTTATCACCTCATCAGCCCTTCCTCGTCAGACTGACCTCTTGTACAACCCCTGTCCTGCGTCTCCACCCCCCCACCCGCCCCATTTGTCGTACAAAAGATAATACACAACAGGTTTTTCAAGACGGAGCGCTAAATAACAGCAAAGTGATACAGAGGGAGATAAGCTATCATGCAACACAACATTAAAAAAAGACATACAACTTCCCTGCTGGACTTCTAGACTGGATTTTAAATATGCAGCCCCCCCCCCTTCTTCTTCTTTCTAATTCAGATAAAAATTGTTTTCATTCTTTGCCTCCGCTGTCAGAGACGCTGTTAGGCTGCGACAGACGCATCAGAGGCATCTTGGTGCCGCTCCTTCTCGTGCACGACGGAAACTTCAAGGAGGAGTCACAGCTTTGGTATTTTCTGTAGATCGATCTAATCTGGCTGCTAAATCTGCAGGTCGTTTCTTGGAAATATGTAAAATGTTAAAAAAAATAAATAAATAAAATGCGTCCGAACCACAAGAATCGCAAAAGTATATATTCACTTTTTCTTGTAAATAGAAAAAGAAAACATTCAGAAGAAATGTAGGAAATTTCACAGCAGGTTTGATCTTGAAGAGCATTTCAGCTTCAGTCATAAGGAAACCAAGATTATTATCATCATTACTATTATTTTAGAAATTTAACAGTTCTGATTAGATTCTAGCTTTGTGGTTTAACTCGAGTATCTCTGAGTTCAGGCTGAATTAGAGCGATCACTCTCTCATACACAGAATTTGAGCTTTATCAAAACAAAACTGAAACTCTTTAAGGTGCCAACAAAGTTTTACAACCATCTACGGTGCAATGTGCTCTGTTAAATACAGCTTTACAGCAGGTTGAATACTTTTCATACCCAATAATGCATCAAGTTCCACTCTGATTACTGTAAAAAAGACAATTACTTCCAGATCACGTGGGACTGAGTCACACCGGCATAATAAAAATGTTGAGCAGAAGTTACTTTACCATTGCTGCCACATTATTTCGCAGTAGTTTTTTGTCAGAGTGGAAAGAAGAGTCAGTTCCTATTTTCAAACCAGTTTCTGCAACAATTTACAAAACAAAAGAAAGTTTTGTGTGGAGTTCAAAACTGATTTCGGGGAAGATTTTTACTTACATCTTGTTTTTTTTTTTTTCCTCTACAGTGCTACAATATGAAGTAGAAAACTCAAGAAGAAAAAAAAAAAGCATTTATTTATTTATTTTTTTTTCTCTGTTTCTAACATAGTTTTGCTTTTCTAGCTGACCGGACACAAATCCACCCTTGCAACCCGTTTTCTCCTTTTGTGGGTGGGATTGTAACGGAACCCATAATGCAGCTGTGATTCTGAGGCCCAGCTGGTTATGGGGTCCGTTTCCATCCCACGGCGCACAATACACCCCAAGGAGACGCGTCCACCAGGAGAACCTCTGCAGCGAGACGAACGACTGCGTCCTCCTTTTACATCCACTGTAAGGTGACAGAATCGGTGGTACAATTTGTCACACTGCCAATCTTTATTGCTCACTAGCAAGCAGTGAAAACAAGTCTAAAAAAAAAAAAAAAAAAAAAAAAAAAAAAAAAAAAAAAAGGGGGTCAGAACAGTGTAAAAACAACACAGTAGAAACGACAGGCAGCTACTCCCCGCCGCCTCCATTTTATGTTTAGCTTCAGTTTGACTTTGAAACAGAACGAAGTGAAACTAAAACCAGCAGGGCTACCTGCGCATAAAGGTTTCTCGGTTTGCCTTCACGGTCCGATGATGGTGTTGTTCCTCAATGACACGTTTTCTCCCGGATTGCTGGTAAGCTTGAATGCAACCGGGAATTTCGTGTCAGCCAAGAATGACATCCGTGTCAACACTTCAAAAAACAAAACAAAAAAACTGTAGCCATTTGTAGAAGGAGTCCATCTGTTAAAATGTGTTAAAAGTCTTAATAAATGTTGTGTTTTTAATATATGGATGTGTGTATTTTTGTTGAATAAGTCACTTTAATTTAGCTTTAGAACAAACTGAGTTTCTCCACCTGTCAATACAAACCTTTACATTAATGTCAGTGAGAAGTGAATAGATTTCCTTCGACACAAAGAAAGGAGCGTCTCTGGCCTCTGGAACGAGCAGCGTGCGTACAGGCAGCTCAGGAGCTGTTGCTGTAATAAATATTTCATATTTATCCATTCATCCTGATCTGTATCAGAGCAGATGGTCATGTTAAAACAGTAGCTAGAAATGCAGGAGGCCATAAAAATGATCAAATAGTTCATTTTCTACTTTGATCCATTTTCTCTGAAATTATTACTCCATCCTTCGCCAATTAAAGGGGTTTATTTTTCTGAGATAATAAAACTGGTTGTCTGCTTTCAGTTTGAATGCATGCCTAAATATACAGAGACCATAATAGAAACTTAAAACACTAATTTTGACGTGTGTGGCGGGCCTCAGAGTCGTAAAGGCTGGCTTTTGAAATGTTGCAACATTTTCTTAGCCCTCGTTCAGGAAGCAAATTTCTCTTCTCACTACTTGAAAATCAATCTACAGAGATCCTGGGTGTTCTTATGTTGCATGTCATTCATGCTGATGAACATTTAAATTCTTAATCTAAAAGAGTGCACTCTAGCTACGGTATAGTCTGAACTAAAAACAGAAATCAGCATGTGCCCATAAAACTGATCAGCTCAACGCATCTTGTAAATGTGACATTTTAGGAGATGCAACACTGACACACACACAAAAAATAAAAATTTCAACATACTGACCTCTAAGTGAAACAAATTTTTACTGCAATGCGTATTTTTCTACCGGTATCATATCTCAGCCTCTTGTAACAGGATTCTGATTTCCTCCCAACCATTGAAACCACCCATGTTTCCATTTCAGGTTTTCTATGGTTTTGAGCGGTTTTTAGTATTAAATTAATGGAAAGCCTACTTTGGCTTCTTCAAGCAGCAGGCCCCATCAGTGGTTTAATTATTTTTAATACAACATGGATTTGAAGAGAAAAGGTTGAAGCTTTGCTCTAGCATCTTTTTCAGTCATGGAAACCACATTAAAAGAGCAGCAATAAAAAAAAAAACTGCAGCCATAGTGCGAACATGATCCATTTTGAACCAGAATGAGTACCTCTTACAGCTTCTAGGTATCAGTAGTCACAACTTTTTTTAATTGCTTTTTGTAAGATAAGACCAGTGAGAGCTTAGGCCGCTGTCAGAGGTTTTAAATACCCCCAATAAATCCTATGGAGCCAAAGTCGCTCACACAGAAAGAATCCATCAAAGGTCTGTGGAGAATGAAGGCGAAGGAAACCTGGAGAGTACTCTTTGAATGGGTTTGAGGTTCCTTTCTTGGTTTTCTCAACTTATCTTTTAGCTCATAGATGTCAGCTGTCTAATGAGGTTGTTCTCGTGGTTCATTAACAGCTGCGGTCGAGCAGCTTCCTGCACCTGCATGGCAGTGTCCAACTCTCTGAACTGTGCCTCAGTTGCAGCCACTTAACTTAGAAATTTGCTGCATCACTCGTGTTGTTTCTTTAATGGAACTGAAAATGTAAAAGGACAGTAGCCACTCAAAATAAAAGCCATCGTCCACTTTCGGCCTCAGCTGTCTACTGTTATATAATCAGAGCCATCTTCAGGAGCTACAAATCTGGGCCTAGGCCTCTTTTTCTCGCCTTGGTCTGATGCGCAGCAGCGATGGACTGATGCTGTACTGTAAAGCTGTCAACGGGGAATAGTGACGGAGCTGAAGCAAAGAGTGGGTGTGAAGACAGAGTGGTGCAAGAAAAAAAAAAGTGCACAACCAGCAGCGCTGTCACCCCACTGCCTGTAATGCCTGGTTTATGCGTGTACGCAGGAGTTGTTGCAGGTTACTGATGAAACATTTTTAGTTTTTAATTAGTTTTCTATAAAAAAATACATTTGGGGTTTTAATTATGCAAGCCCTTACCTAACTTTCACATAAATGTCTGAAATGTGTCATCCTGTCTGTGGTGAATCTGTATCACACCGAAATTGAAATAAACTTTCAATGATACTACTTTTATGAGATGGACCTGTATCTAAAGAATCTAAAAATCTATATCACATTGATTTTCTTGGAGTTCTCCTGATGCCTTGGCCATAAAAAGACCCGATGTTATGCGAGATGTTCAACATTCTGCCTAATTAATCCATGTAAATCCAAACATTTAAAATTATGATCAACTATTAAAACATCTTCAGGTCTTTAAAAAAAAATAAAGCCAGGTAGTTGAACCTGTTCATAAATGGGTGTCTTCAATGTTTTTTTCAGGTCGTAATCCTGTTGCTTATGCAAGGTGACCCCCGCTACCCTCACCAAGCTCTGTTGTGAACTAGGGCTGGGTAATAATATCGATTTTACGATATATAGACATTTTCTTAGAAAAAAAATAGATATTCATCCGCAAGCATCTTAACATCCAACTGTCACCTTGCTCACTCACTGCTTGCTTCGCCGGGAGAGTGATTAGGTCATCAGGCTTAGAGTGATTCCTTCAGATGTTAAGTGTCAAGGTTAAAAAGGTATCAAACAATTCAGAGCAGGGTACTTGGTGCACTTTATTTACTTTACAAATGCATGTAAGCTACAGTTTGTACCGTTTCAATTAAAAGAAACATGTTTTCTCATCACTTCTTTGATTCATTTTGTCCAGCCGTCGACTTTAAGTCTGTGTCCATGTCCAACCAGAGCCAGGTATTGTGTAGTTGGTGCCTTTAATCAGTTTTCAGTTAAATTAATTCAATCCAACTCTATAATAGTCACAAAATGTCACCAAAATCACTCTGTCCCTCTAAAATTTTTCAGAAAATCGCAAAAGTGTATTGAATTGTATCGTTTGCTGAATATCACAATATATATCGTATCATGAGCAGAATATCGTGTATCGCATCGTGAGATTATTGTATCACTACAGCCCTATTGTGGACTGCATATATATATATATATATATATATAAATTTTTAAATTAAGATAAATGTCTCATCATTGAGTAAGAAACTACAGAAAATGGTAAAAATCATAAATATATAAACAGCAATGTCATAATCATTTAATTTGTGTCATTGTTTATTTACAGCTTACCGCTTTATGAAACAGATGCAGTTGTGTATTAGCGATACAGATTCATATTTGATGTCAAATGTTAGAGAAAATAGACTGGCAACACCTACTCTGAGTCCAAGTCATATTTTGAAGTACAATTTGCATTTACTCCTGCAATCCACTAGATGGCACCACACAGGTACAACCAAAAAATGTATCTCGGGAGAAACATGCTTTTCAAGTAGTTCCGCTGACAGTAAACAACCAATGCAGTCCTCCCCACCACACACAGCCAATATCTGACATCGACCAGCAAGTAGCGGGCCAGAACACCGCATATCCACCACTACTTCCAGCAGCGGCACCGAAACGGACATGTACGTTAAGTGAATGAGCAGATAGCGAGCACCGCTCACCTGTCAGAGCCGCGGCGAGGATGGAGGAGAACATCGAGGAGCTCTCGCCTCTGCGGATCACCTCCACAGTGCGAGCGCTCAGCTCCGCACTGCGAGGGAAGCGTGAACACGTCAATGACTCCAGCCGAGTGAAAAGCGACAGGATGTTCCCCGAACCGGAGAAGCTCTGGTTCAAGGAGAGCAGCGCGAAAAACCTGCGGAACAGGGACTTCTTGTCCCCGAGCACGATGCTCAACACGCTGTATGCGGACGGACAGGTCTGTCAGTTGTCTACCCATTAAAATAAAATAACATGTACATGTAATGTAATCGTGCCTCACTTCAAATTCTCGTTCGCTGTGCACAAAGAAACTTTAAGGTTCTTGTCTGGAGGCGTACAAACTAAATTTGGAACGCCAACTGCACTTATGACGTACCATCACATTATCTACTGATAATTAACACGTAAAAGTTCTTGCGCCAAAACTCCTCATTTTATTCTTCCGCTGTGCAATATAGTTCTCGTTCGTATCAATGATTCTACTCAGGTGTTCGACAGCTTGAACGTCAGCCAATAAAAAATGAGGACGGAACCATCTACCTGAAAGCGTAGGCTGACTCCAGAAAACTGGCTGTAGTTAAAAGGTACCGAAAAGTTACATGTGTTCTCTTGTAACTTATGTAAAGGAATCAGGCAAACCATAAACTACATTTAAATATGTATGAAACTGTCCATTTATTGATAATCAGCCACTGATTTTCCTCCGTTGTGTGAGAGCAGACACTACCAGCCTGAAGCTGTAATTATTTACCCATGAGTTGCAAATCTAATGTGGGTCAGCTGGCTGCATATGCACTACTCAGGCTGGAACTTCACATGAGCACTACTAAATTAAAGCAACCTTTACCGTTTTTGGTGGAGACATGTCTCTTAAAGTTCTCTCTTTTCATTTACATTTTTACACGTTCGTGTAGAAAATGTTTTAGTTTGTGTTGCCATCATGAAGATATTAATAAATGCTTCCAGACATCATCAAAGCTCAGCCACCCCCTTGATATTTACAAAATCAAAACAAAATATGGTGTCAATCACCTGTGCTGTGTTTGTGCAACAAACAGTTTTCATTTGTGCAGTTATATTTTTTAGGATTTTTTATTTTATTTTACAAAGGTCACAAGAGATCAACCTGCCCCATGCCAGCCCCATACCAACAAAATCAAATGAAATTGATATAAATTAACTGTGCTATGTTTGTGCAGCCAACATGTTTGTTTCTCAGTTGATTGGCACCAAATTTGTTTGATTTTGTCAATGTGGGGGAAGACGGGGTGCCCGTTAGTGACCTCTGCAAACATGTCTTAAATGAGAGCGGCACAAACCCGCAAACAGTTTCTATACTGTGTATAGAAACAGCTCAACAGGTTGAGCTGTTTCTATATATGCCTCTAGTTGTATCACCTACTTGATTATTTCTAGTCTGTTCCCTTTTTATGTATGTCTTCACTCAGGTTCCTCCGGCGGTCATGTCCCGAGTTCTGTCTCTCCGAGGCGGTGGGGTGCTTCCTGTGGCGGGTGGGGAGGTGATGGGCGAGGGCTTGAGGCTGCGAGTGGACCGGGTTGCAGCTTTCAGGGCTGTCCTGGCAGGCGGAACCACTGAGTATCTCAAGCCCTCGAGTCAGAGGGAGGGCTGTGTGGTGCTCAACTGTCCTGCGCTGCACCCTAAACCCAACACACCCACTCCTGACACGCTGAGCCTGGGCCAGCTGAGAACTGTTCTGCTGACTGACCACATGGGGGCACTGTTGAGGAGACAAGGGTGAGTCCGGGAGGGAATTTTAAGATAACAGAGAAGAATGACAGGGTGTTTTATTACAAGACCAGACTATTTTAATTCGTCATTAATTAATTTTTTTTTTAAAAATGATGTGAATATTCTTCCTCCCCTCAGATTTGAAGTTTACTTCTGCCCAACTCTTCCGGAGGACAGCGACGTCGCCGCCTTCCTCCAAGCTCTGGGCATTGATTGGCCGACGGCTCCCGCTAACTGTGCGAATGATGAGCGGGAGGAGAAGATCCAGAAAGCGCTAGAGAACTCTCCGTACAGAGAAAGGGGAACAGAGAGAGGCAGGAGGACCAGCGGGGGAGGAGGTAGAAAAGCTGCGGAGGAGGAGAATGAAGGAGGGCTCCGAATTAATTTGAAACGGGTTTTCCAAGAGGAGGGGCTGCTAGGGTATGACCCCACCCTTGGCACCTGCAAAGGTAAGGCCTGGGTCTTAGAATTTTGCGTTTATTTAAAAACCCCTCGTTAAGTTTCTATGCTGTACCCCTCCTCCCATGCATGAAGATTATTTATGAACATTTTCTTTATTAAATGTGTTTCTTAGTTGACTCAGAGACTTCTTAAAATCCTGGTTTTATAATGAAGCTGCAAATCTTGATTTGTTGTAGGCAATGAAGATGTAAATGTAAATTTTGAATATTAACTGTTTAGGTGGCTTGTGTTTTAAATATGAGTGACCATTTTTTTTGCTTGTATTTACCCAGTAGATGGGGTGTTGCTTGGCAAAATGTATATTTCCTACTGGATCTAAGCACACAATTTTACTGAGAAGTGAAAAGAAAAAGAAAAATGTTGCCAATCTCCCCAAGAGGGGGCGCCCCAGGCAAATGTCAAACCATGCAATACTCAGATAAATGACAAAAACAATCAAAACCTTTTAAAATTTTCAGGACTCAGTTAGCATGCTAAATGCTAAGCTTCCTGATGGTCCAAAAGTCTGAACAAATATGGTTGGTTTTAAAGTGTTGGTAGAAAAAAGTCTCTTGTCCGTAAAAAGAGTCTGGCGACAGGACTCAGATATGTACAGTTCCACCTGAACAAACTGCAATCCTTCAGCCTCAGTTTAACAGACAAATGACAAGTAGAGATGTCTGCCATAAAGCACCGCGCCATGTTTAGGAATAATAGAGCACAGTGCTTATGATCAACTTTAGAGTCCAGCTGCAACACGGAAAAATATTTATTTTAGAAAAATATTTAACTTATAAAAATATTTTCTGTAGTTTGCTTTTATCATGTGACAGTCCAGTCACTGTACCTGAATGAAGCCAGGTGCAGTACTTTCAAAAATCTTGCTACAAAATGTGCTGGATATTTTCGACCAGGTTTGGGAAATCAAATATAAGAAATGATGAGAAGACGGATGCTGAATAGTAACTTGATTCTCTTTTTTTAAATTTTTTATTTCTAGTTCACAGAGACAGCGTTTCCCACCTGGCACAACTGGATCTGTCCACGGCCGATATCACCGTGAGACAAACAAACACACACACACATCGAAGCACACAAACACCACATGTTGCAGGATTCTCTTTGTTCTCACAAAAAATGTCCTTCCTGGCTTCACTTTTTCTCCCCCCCCACCCCCAGGAAACCATGGTAACAGTGCTACATGTGACTTCTTGTCAGGATGAGTTTCGCCAGCAGCAGATAGCAGTGCTGTGGCGAGCCAGTGGAGCGACACACTCTCAGGTAACCACCATCATTCGCTCTCTCACACACACACGTATACAAACACAACAGTGCAGCTTATTGTGTTCGTATTTTTTTTAACCTGCTTTCACTCTTTCTGGCTGCAGAGGCATCTTGTGTGTGGGCCTGTGAAGACCCCCGGTTCTCACCTCACTGCTGCACAGTACCTACAGTATGATTCATTACTGTTTGTATTTATTAAGTCTTTTTATCTCATGGCTTGTTTTATAAATTTACCAGACTTTCTTCTGGTAAATTCATAAAACAAATTTACCAGAAATTTGTTGTCTTTGTGCTTTTGACCAGAAAAAGAAGAGATCTGCTTTTTTATCTTCACTACTGACACTAATTACTAAATCACATTTCTACAATAACTAAATGAAAGACTAGTGATTTTTTCCCCCCTCCTGTTAGTGATGTAGCCATTTGCTTTTAACCCAGGCTTTGGTGTAAATGTAGCTTCTGTTTTCCTCTCATCCAGGCTGAGAAAAGGTCAGATGAAGGAGGCTTCAGAGATGAAGTATGGAGATAAAGTAGAGGGTGCGTATTGATTTTTAAAGGGTTCGGCCCCTTAAACTAATTGCTTTTGCAAAAGTCTGTACTTTTAACGTTTTGTGACGCTACAACCCTAAACATTTATTTAAATTTTACAGAATGTGACTACCTGTGCCACTTCCTGTATGTGCTCTGTGTGTATAAATGTTTTGAATGGCAACCTGAGTGATGCTCTGTACAGTATGTAAAGTATAAATGAGTCAAATGAGCTCCTGTTGCAGGCCAGACCTGGGATGACATCATCAAAGTCATGACCTCCGCCACGGTCAGATTTGAGCTGCTATCAACAGTTCACACAAGCCCTGTGAGTTAAAAGTCCCTGTACGCCTGAACTCGTCTTTCAGGTGGTTCTGCGCAAAGATTGCATGTTCGTGAAGATGCCTACATCGCTTAAATAAACCCGCTTTTCCGCCGCTTTGTGGTGTCAAACACGTCTCTTAACCAGAATCAGTTCCCTCAGGCTGACGGGATTTTGAAGAATGTGGTGAGCATGATCGAGGTCCTTGTGTCCAGGTGACGCTGGACGTCCAGAGGGAAGGGGGCGTGTCTACCAAAGGGCCGAGAGGAGGCGTGTTTGTGATGTATAACTGCGCCAGATTGCACACTCTGTTCGACAGCTACGAGAGAGGAGTGGAGAAGGGTGAGACCCGCTGACGCCTTTCAGTTCTGATGAGCAGCTTGCAAACGAGCAGCCAGCTGACCCTCTAGTTTACCCAGAATGTAACATTAGTTACATTTATTTATTGTATTTGTTCAACCGTGGGAGCTGTTAGATGCCAATACAGAACACCCATTTACAGTTAAGTGACGACATGTTATGCATTGTGTTTTATAAAGGAACTTCTAAGTAGATACTATGGTCATGGCAGTAATATTCACTTCATATGTATTTGTTTTCAGTCTGTCTCAAACCTCTCTAACCCTCGGATGGACCTCAGTGTTCACTGTTTGATGAACAAGTGAATGCTAAAAGCAACCTTAACTAGACAATATCTTAATGCCAATCACTATTTTTGTTTGATAAATTATTAGGGAGGGATCATTATTAAAGTATTCCTTCCAAATATATCTTTAGTGCATTTTGATTTTTATTTCCTAGTAACTGCCCCTAATCTTTGCAGTACTTTACTAAATACTAAATGGGAGATCTTGCGCTGTTGTGGTTTTTTTGTGTTTGTTTAGTTTAACCCAATAACTGGCGTTTGTAATGTAAACATTTTGCAATAAAATTATATTAAGAAAAAACTGAGCACTTGAATTTCTGAATAACTGAGTAAAAATTCTGGTTTTGGCAGAAATCAATGTTAATTGGGATTTGGAAATTAGATTTAGTGTTTGCCAAAACAGAATGACTGGGAGGCAAAAATGATTATCAGGTATAGATTACTGTGTTGCTTCCAGTTGTATATTAAAGAAAAATAATGAAAAAGACTTCAAATTAAAAGGAGAATCATCAGCTTTTATGTGGGGGTCATTGTTGTTGCACGGCTTAACACACACTCGTGTGTGCATATCTGCATTTCTGGTCTGGTTGAAGTGTTAAGACTGAAAGATATTAGTGCAACATAAAGGCTTTCCACCGTCTGTCTGCAGGTCTGTACCCAGAAATCCCTGATGGGTCCCAGTTGGACTTCTCTGCTCTCAAAGAAGAGGTGCCACTCCATGTTTTTCCCTCATTTCTTTACATTTTATTGTTGTTTTTGTTGGTGTTTGAAGTCTGCCTACCACTGCAGAAACAACACAACCCTAAACTTTGCTTTTACTCGCTCCCCCCCCCACTCCCCCACAGGGTGAGTGGCTTTTACTCTTCAATTATCTTATTCCTTTCTCGGAGCTGCTCGACCAATCGGGACAATCACTAGATTGTGAAGGAGGAGGAGCCAGAGTGAACATTAAAACCGAACAGGTACGCCCGATTGATGAGCCATCGCTGCTGTCCAATAACTCAGGACTGTTGAAGACTTTAATGTAACCTTCTTGCTTGTGTCCCTCCAGATCTGTAAATTTCTCGTCTCGCTCAGTAAAGACTTCAGCTCGTACTACAACAGAGTCCATGTGCTGGGGGTGAGGACGTGCTCAAGTGTTTTTCTGTGTTTTGAGTGGATGAAACTGCAGCTTATTTTAAAAATCAGTTCAAATTACCGACCATCTTGGTTCTTTTCAGAGCCGCTTGCGAACGTACCTCGGCCCACTAAACTTTTCCACATTTTGTCAAATTGCAACCGGGCCTCTCACCATAAACAATAAATCAATTAATCACACGATAAACTAAAAGAAACTCAATACCTTTCATTTGCTTGATTATCTATTTTCTCTTTTCTCTCTCATTCTGCCAAAACTGATCTTCAGTCTGGTGCTTTGGTCTCAACTATCCCCTTTTTTTTTTAAAGATACATTTGTTTACAGAGACTTCATAATTCATTTGTTATTTATTTATTTTGGATATTTCAAATGTCTCCCAGTTCTGTTGTTTAAATGATTATCAGAATTGAACGTTTATTGATCTTTGAGAATGTGTTCTTGCATTATTATGCCATTATTACTATTATATCACTTGAAAATGGTCTCAAAACAACAATATCATCATTTATCGCAATAAGTTCTGGGACAATTTATCGTGTATTTTAGTCACTATCCTCAGAGTTTCATGGAAGATATTAAAAATGTCATTCCCCCCCCTCCAACTTAACAACTTTGTACACAAAATAATGGACATGTGTGGTTGTGATGTGACAAAACGGGACAAAAACTTCATTTCGCAAACAATCTGTGATTATCCAATGCGGTTCTCTTGTGTTTATAGCACAATTAGACATATGCATTGCTATTTATATATGTATTTACACAAACACGTGGCTCTCTGTAATTGTTCTCCTTATTTCCAGGAGCCATTGCCTCACCTCTTCAACCAGATGTTTTGTCGTCTCCATCTGCTAAGAGCCCTGAGGGAGCTGTACCACAGAGCTCTGGAGACCCTTAACCTCCCCCCCATCAGGCAGCTATAGCCTCAACATAACACCATCATCCTTCACACTTTGCTTCACCCAGTCCGCCTTCTTTCCTAAACTCTTCCCTGTATGTCGTGTATCCGGCTGAGAGACTTGCTGTTACAGATGCTTGTAGGATTTCTGCCCGTCAGTGTTGGTGGACTTACTGGAGCTGATTATTTTATAAGTGTCACCGTAAGATAATTGCTCAGTTGCAGAGTTTTGACAGGAATAATTTGGCGTGTTGACTCTGATGATGGATATGAATGTCAGTATGACTCGTCCGTTTCACTCTGACTCTGTCGATTTTATTTTTTTCTCTCCGTCCGTTTGGAGATCAATCAAAAAATATCAAAGTATTCCTTTACCATTTTCCATCAGCACATCTAGGACCAGAACCGTGACACCAGAATCGGGCTTTTGATTTCTGAACTTGTTCTTAGAATAGCACTACTGACTCAAAAAGACACTGAACCTAACAGATATGGTTTGATATTTGTGCCAAAAACTGAGTATTATGAATCTACCAATCAAGAGATTTAGCTCTAAAACCTGCCTTAATGTCTGCATGTTTGCTTTTTGACCAACATTAATTCAAATCAGTTGAATTTTGTGTATTTTTAGGATAAATTTGATCAATTTTGAACCTGGAGGATTGATATTGGTGGATAATTTTCCATTTTTCTAATTTACTACAGACTAAAAGTCTAAATCAGAATAAACAGCCTAAGTTCAGTCACAAAAAAAAAGCTCACCTGTTTCATTTTCTCTGCGTGAACTGGATGTATCTAAAGTCTTGAAGTTGACGCCAATGAAACTGGTTAAAACTGTAACTAAAGAAATGCCGAGGCAAACTGATTCTAAGTTCAGGTTGACGCTGTTCTTGAACGTGGCGAGTATATCGCGCGACGATAAGGGAGGCAGAAAAAAAAACTTTCAAAGCTCAGGTTTGGGAGAATTGCAGCTATTTTTATTATGTTTTTCCCCCAATCTAAAAACCAAAAAACTTAAAATGCAACTTTGTGAGAGAAGTTGATAACTCGCTCGTTGAGGTCAAAGAAGCTTGTTAAAGTAAACTGGTTTCTGTAAAACTAAACCTTTAATTTTTTTTGTTGGTCCAAATCGCATTCATGTGTCGCCTCTTTAAATCACCTCCACTTCCTCTATGCCTGACTAAAGTTTACTGATTCCAGTTTGTCTGTGTATTTGTTCATGCCATAGGTATATTTATTGTTGATTATTAAAAAAAAAAAGATATCTGTACATTGTGTATGTTATGCACACAAGTCTTAATCTAGTTGTGTTCCTGAAGGTGAATCCCCCATTAAATCCCATCTATCCTGCTGGACAAATCACAGCCGTTAGTATTATATTGTAGAGTAAGTTATTGACAAAAACCCTAGCAGATATTAGGTCGTCGTGCCACAAAGTTAGAAAATATAAGACATAGCATGAAATTTATACGTAAAAGTCTTATTTATGGATTTGGGAAGGGGAGACTTAATCGCTGAACTTCTTTTTCATTTTGTATTAAACTGATTATTTTATCCATTTGTTTTTGTTTATTTAATTTAAAAATGAAACCAAATTGGTGTTTTGTGAACAAATGTCCAACACAAAAACTCACATTTACAAAGCATGATTTCTTTATTTTGACCCATGCAGATGTGCAGGATGTCTGTTTTATAGACTTTTGTTTGCCAAGAAAAGGTGACATGATTTTATTTGCCACTGTAATTGCAAGCAGTATTAAAGCAGAGGACGTGCATAAATGAAGATTTTTCCTGTTTTTATTTCACACGCTATGCTCTGCGAAGAGCAACAAACTGTTCGCTTGAAACAATCCGCCATCTTGGAAACCTCTCAAACATGTTAGTCCATTTATCTATATGATTATGGATAGTACTGCCGAACATCTGCTTATACACATCTGTCTGGCCCGTTTTCTCTCTATTTTATTCCCTCCATTTTGCAGAGTCAAACAGCAGAAGCAGACGCTCTCAGAGCGGTTGCCTCCCTCAGGCTTGGGGAGACAGATGGACACACTGTTGATGCTTTCTGAACGATAAATCCCTGCATGCAAACAAGCAGATCCAACAAATGTCAACAAACACAGATCTGCAGTCCTGTGAGGAAGAGCTTATTAATCCTCCATCATCTTTTTATCTCCAAGTCTAAGGATCCAGTCTCTCTTACCATTTTTATCCTGATTACTGGATCTCTAGTCTTCCTGAATGTCTTTTTTTTTTCTCTTAGGATTTGAAACTGACTTTAGAGTAGATTCACATGCCCTTTGTTACTTGAAGCTATAATGCGTTTGAATTTCCTTTGCTTAGACTAAAAACTTGTGAAGACAACATTTTGATAAACTGGGAGAAAAAAAATCACAGACTTTGTTTTGCAGACCTAACAGTTGCACTAAAGGTAATTACAAGAATAATTGACTTTGTTTAATTAAAGCTCAGGCAATATCAGCTGACTCTTTCCTAATAATAATGGAAATATGAGTTTTACCACGGTTAGGGTCACAGGCAGCAATTAGTGTGTGCTAAGAGCATTCAGTCAATTACTGGATGTTTTTATGGAACGAAGAAGGTAATCGAACACTATAGGTTTATATCTGTGATGATCCTTGTTTTAAATGAGTTCAGGTCAATAGTACATGAAATGTGTTTTTTAGTCACCAGATGTTGCATGTAATATGAATGATAATCAGCATGAAGATGCTGCAGTGCAAATATGTGGTGGAATAGGTAATCCTGAGCAATTAAGAGGACTGAATCAGAGGACAGAATTGTGTGTTATTTTGGATCCTCCATGCATTAATTCTGATCTTACTCAGGATTTATGTCCTAATTCTTAAACCTTTAGGAAAGAAAAATAATTGAACATTTTAAACAGGCTTCTTTCAGGTCTACTCAGGTGGATAACATGGGTTTAGACTTTAAATGGACCTCATCACATCGGACCCCCCTGATCCAGTATGTCTACACTTATATATATATATATATATATATATATACATACAATGCCTGTCGCAAACGTCCACTACTGTTCCTGCAATGTAATATGTTTCAGTTCAATTCAATTTGTAGGATTTCACTGTAACTCACACAATAAAATGTTAGAACAAGTGTTATTTTCGTAACAAAACCCCATATCTTAAAGCAAACGTTTATAAATATGTTGAAAAAAGGCTGTTTAAATATCTCCAAGAGCAATATAGTCAAAATGCTTGATAAAACATAGCCAGTGACACAAGATGTCCACAAAGATGGACATATCAATTTTTATAATTTCATCACAACATAAAATGAATCCATAAAGTCTTTTTAACAATTATATTAGTCTTTTTTTTTCCTAAATTTGGGTAGCTGTGGAAATTTACATTTATGTCCAGAAGGTGGCAGTGTGTGGAGTGACACCAGAGTCCAATAAAGGTGTTAGTTTATAAATAATCATCTGTTTCTACATATTGGCTTGAAGTCATTAGTAGAAAAAAAAAACAGACAAAGCTCTTTCTTTACTGAGAAAGTTAAAATGTTTTAACCGATCACCAGCCCTTACCAGGATTAAGAACCGTGTGAGCATTTTTACACAGTCAAGCCCATTTTGCCGTTATTCTCACATGCTGAGCTCCTTTGAGGTTTTCCCAGGGACGTGATAACGAGCTACCTCTGAGATTTGAAGGCAGACATTAAAGTCCAAGCAGAGCCAAACGGTCAACGTGGACAGCTCTCCACAGAGCAGCTTAATGATGCCTGCTTCAACCTGACCCCCAGTAATGAGCTGACAGCTGTATCTGTCTCTGCTGCAGGTGACACAGCTCACCAAATCAAACACACACAGCAGCTGCTTTCAACTGCAAATCATTAACAAAAAGCCTCGAGAAGCACCAAGACAGGCCGGAGTTATTGTCCACTGAGCGGCCAGGCATGATCAGAATTACGGACCTGAGACCTGAACATTAATCTCTCATGTGATTGTGTGCAGCAGTCGTTACTACGCATGCATTCGATTAATGTGTATCCAAATATAGAAGCAGCTACTCAGGTCCTCAGCAGCTATAACACTGTGCAGGTATAACCCAACACACACACACACACACACCTACACACATACACACATTCTCTCTCTCGTATCGTTTTCTGGTTGAAGAAGCTGGGAACAGGTGGGTTTAAGTCCCAGAGGGAGTGTGTTCAGGAGCATTATGTGTGTGTGAGCGTGTGTGTTAGACTTTTTTCATTCGGAGAATTATCTGGGAGCTAGTATGTTTCAGTGTGCTTGGATATTTTTAGGAGCAATAGCGATTCAACAGAGCAGATTCCTACTCTGCATAAGATACTTGTACATTATTGTATTTAAGTCTGATGCATTTGCACAGTTTCCGCAGTGAATTTACCTCACCTAGTATGTGATAAGTTGGGGCAGACAGGAAGCACAGGTCAGTCTGAATGAGAAACCTCGTAGAGACATGATGTAATCTTGTAAGTCATGAGCCGTTCACACCACATGGTGGCGGTATTGAGACAGTCTTTTTTAAATGCACCGCCCTCAAACCCTGATCCCAGCTGGATACACTGCAAAACAAACCAAAAAAAAAAAAAAAAAAAACGTAAAGAAAGAAAAAGCTGAAGCCCAAACAGGACGGACTGTGGTTTTTCTTAGCCATAATCACAGAGAGATTTGTAAACATTTTTTACTTTTGTGTTTTGCATTTCTTTGCTAATCCTCATATGCATTAGATACCTTTCAGTCACGTAATCATTCAACAAGTCACCTCTTAAACAGACTCCCTGATTTACAAAAAAAATCTATAATTTCCCACAACTAGTCACTGAGCTTGGTGTGTAAAAATCTAATTATCATAAAACAAATAATTTAGGTCCAGACGGAGATCGTTGTAACCTACTGGGAAAGGAATTTTAGAAACTATCTTCTTATCGATTGCTTGAGTGACCAGATGTGGTTTTTTTTGTTGTTGTGTGATTCATTGCATTTTCACCCTGCTGGAATTTAAGGAGGGTTCACAGATCCCAAGAGGAACACATAAGACGAGCATGGAGCGCTCTTCTGCGTTCACGGTTGGGTCATCCCAATTAAGAGTTACAAAGCTGCCTGACAGAAACGTTGGTTCCCAGACATCCTGTGGGAAACCTCAGTGATAAGACTTAAATAAGTAGGCAGTGACTCTCTGTCTAGTCAGAGCGGATCAGACTGAACAGACACCGAGCTGCTTGTCACACACGTCTGCTTGCTGTTCCCATTCTTGCAAGAATTAATAAAGTGCTACCTGAGTGAAAATCTAACAGTGATAGTTAATTAGGGGAAACTTGTTTTCCCTTTTTTGCATCTACTAAAGCATAAATTGAAAATGTTTGTTTAACTATGGACAGAAATCTAGTTTCCTGACAACCTGGTTGCAAACAGAAACGTTTTATGCTAATATGGAGGATTTTTCCTCCCCCTCCTGCTGGTGTTTTTGTGCACCATTGAGTGTGCAACATATAATCACCTGTGCAACTCATACAATTGAGGAAATGCTGCAGGGATGCACATTACCTTGAGTTTTAACAGCTTCTGTCGTATTTCAGCTGTTACAGATCAAAACCAGCCTGCAGGAATTTTAATATCTACCAATTTTGAAAGAAAAAGGACACTTAAAAAGTGAGATTGATGATGTGTTAAAACATTTGTAAAGAAGGGGGTTTTGTCCTTGAAATTAACACAATGGGCAAAAATGAGGTGAATCTTATCTCTTCTTTCAGTGATTGTTTTGCTTTTGTCTTTGTTTTTTGGGAATTTGTAATGTAAATTTTCACGAATGTTTTGCAGCATCTGTTATCCTTTTTTTTATTATTATTATTTTACAGTTTGTTTCTGTCTTGTTTACTGTTATGTGTGTTGTCATGGAAATCATTCATTCATTGTTCTTTGTTTTTTGATATTTTTTTCTTCACTTATTTCACTGTTCAGTTTGGTTCTCCAAATTCCTCAAAGTCTTTTTGGCCGCCGGAGCAGAAACGGAGAACAAAAGCAGAGTTCAAAGTAGCCACTACAAGCATGGCTGACGTGCAGAAACCTTCCGAAAAAGGATGCGATAAATTTCAAAGAACGTTTTTGCAGTGCAGTCCAGAAGGCTTTATCCTTTTCATCTCCCTCGCCAATCACAATCTCCCCTTGGAAGAGCCCTACTTGCTTGTCAATCACTTCCCCAGGGTGATAGGTTGGATCAAGACAAAAGAGGGAGGAGAGTGATGGAAAGAGAAAAACAAAATATGCTTGGAGGGGGGGGTAGATGTGAAAACGGATGAAAACACAGGGACGGGATGCTGGAGAGAGCGGAGCATGTAGAGTAATCGCTGAAAGCAGAGTCACCGTCTTGAAGAGAGATGAATGAATGGGGTCAGGGACGCTCCTGAGAATTAAGAGGGAGAGGAAGAAAAGGGGGCGTGGATGAAGGGAGAAAGGTATGGATGGAGAAATATTGTGAGCCGGATGCGGGCAGGAGGTGGGAGAAGAGAGGGATTAAATCAGAGCTAAATAAGACGGAGAAAACAGGAGAAAGGAGACGTCACAGGAAAAGAGGAAGACAAGAAGAGAAACCATCAAACTTCAGGAACAGATTTACCTCCCACTATAGACAAGAGAAGAAGATGACTAATATACCTATTTAATATTGGCGACAAATAACTCTTATGAAATAAAAAAAAATACTCTGGGAGAGTTAACATTTAAGCTCTGACACCTAGTTGGTGTTAGTCAGTGTTAAATGA